GTTGTTAAAACAGGTTATGGAGTAGATATTATGAAAAATATAAATTAAATTGTGATAAGTTTGATGTAGAATAATGTATAAAGCAATATAGCATCATTAGGAGGGTGTTTAAATAAGTGTTTTACAATGCAGTTTATTTTATATTAAAGCAACTAGCATTGGTTTCGTTGCTTAATGGGCATAATTGAACCGTGAGAAATTGGACAAGGGAAAATGGAGTAAGCACATTGTTAAGTGACTTTTGGATTAAGACATTCAGTAGACATTCCAGCTTCTCTTTGAGCATATACAAGTGAATGGTTCTATGATTAATTTAGTCTATTATAATGGATGATCATCTTACTTTAGAGCATATTCGTAAATGATATCAACACATAGAAATATTAAACATTAAATTGAGTCAACGTTATTTATCATCTTATTTGGTTATTGAATATTTGTCGAGAGTGTACTCACATGCATGTATTGATAAACACGTCTAGCACGTAGTATCTGTAAAATATTAAAAACAAAATATATAGATATTCTTCACTTGACATGAGATTGTTAATGACGGTTAAAATATTTACCTAGTTATGTAAGTTTACTATGACCTTAAGTAGCTATTACCAATTATTATTAGACTGTGTTACCAAGCTACTTTCATGTTTTTTAAGTGATTATTTATACAGCGGAGAGACTCGTTATAAAGCTACGTACAAATATTTAAATTAAGCTACTTTCTGTTTTTTAAGTGATTATTTATACAGCGGAGAGACGTTTTAAGTAGGGGTTAATTAACTGTTTAGATGTCTCCAAAAATCAAACTTAAGACTACCAAAAATTTTTATTGAAACAAAAATATTTCTAACTATACATGGGGAAAAAAGAATATAATAAAAATAATTTATCGAACACTATTAATAACTGATAAAGTAGGATAAATGATACGCCGCTGGACATTATTAATATATAGGGCATGTTTGGAAATACTAGTTATTCTAGTAGTTGTTAGCTGTTAGCTTGTAGATGTTAGCAGTTAACTTGTAGATGTTAGTAGTTAACTGGTAGCTGTTTAAATAGTGGTTGAAAGTATTCGATAAAAACAACTGTTTGATTGGCAATAAATTTAAAATGATAAAAAAGGGCATTGGAATATTCACCTAAAATTTTCAATTAAATTTATTATGAAAATAATACTCACTAAACCTAAATTTTCAAAATTTAAGGGAGCAAAAATTGAAAAGTTCACTGTTTTATAAATAAAATTGAACATTGTTAATATTTTAGGGGATCAATATTTTTAATTTTTAATATTTATTTGAATTTAAATACCTTTTACTGTCAATTATAAATAAGGCAAACATAAAGATAATAAAACAAAACGCTTAATGTGATAACAAAAGGATTTTATATTAATTAAGAATAAGGATAAAGTTTGTAAAAAAATGTTTTAGTAAAAATAGCGAAAAAGCTAAACATCATGTAAGATAACGTTTTAGAAAACATTCTATAGATTTCTAAAAGTTATTGTATATATCAAGTTAATGAATACAATAATTTGGAGAAATAGAGTTTTGACTAGTTCAAAACACTAACGGTTACTGTAAACGCTATTACCGAACACGCCCATAATTGAAATAATATTTTTACTTGTTCAAAACACTAAACACTGCATAAAATTACTGTGGCATAGGGCTGGAGTTAGTTTTATTGCCGTTTATTAGAATTTTGTGAGTTGAATCGTGATGTTTAACTGTTTATTACAGTTTAATGTAAAAATTCAAGCTGATAGTTAATTGGAATTGAGATTTTTAGGTTTTTATTTTAAATAAAATTACAATAACTTCTCACTTTACACAAGTCATTTACAATGCATTATATATATATATATATAAAAGAAATAAATTAAGTAAATGATTTAAATTATTTTATATTAAAGGTAAGTCCAACTCATTATAATGTCATTTTAATGCATTGCCTTTCTTCGATTTTACTTTAGCATACTCTCATTTCCAGTCAAGAGATAGATTAATGGATAGATCCCCTTTCGGGGATGCCTTATAAGTCCCTAACGCATTGTTTGGATGAAGGGATAGGGATGAATCATAAAGTAAAATATAGAATAGTACGAGAAAGTATGATAAATGTCTTTTTGTATTTGTGGAAAATGTATGGTAAATGAAGATTTAATAATGATGTTTTGTTTGATTCGATGGCAGAGGAAGATAGTGTTAAATATAAATATTATGAAAATACCCTTTTCATAGAAGATTTATAAATATAATTATGGATAAATTTATAAATTAAAATTTTAACCATGCTTACAGCTTAATTCGAGGTGTTGAAGACTGAGGTGTTTAGACGGATTTTCAACGCCTCAAATGAGTTTTGAAAACTCAAACTCTCTTCACAAACGACTAAATAATCATCTTCTACCTAACTTTACTCTCTAAACCTATCAAATAACCTCCTTCCAAATAATCTGTAAAGGAAGGGGAAGACCCTTCTTATTAGAGTTAGAAGGCACTTACGAATTAATAAATGAACTACTAAGTGAATATGATTAATTACTTCTAGACCCGGATTCTTAATATGAAATCAGAGTTTGGGACCGAACATCTGTTGTATTAGATAAATATAAATAAGTAAACCCAACTTATTATAACCTAAGCCCTATATTCTTACCGTATAATTTCATAATAAATATAACATATTAATTCTTGTAAAAAAAAATACAAAATATAAATTATTTAAGATATTTTGTTTAATTAAAATTATCTCTTTGGCGATCCACAACATATGTAGCTGAGAAATTATTAACAAATAATTTTTTTTAGGAAAACAAATAAAATTTTGACTTAACAGTAATAAAGTCATTTCTAAAATATCATAGAGCTGCGCATTAAACGTAACTCAGTGGTATATTTGCATATACCACCTGACATAACTTAACGGTAATAAAATTATTTCTAAAATAAATAAGTGCATGTACAACCTGACAAGACCCAGATTCGAGCCACCCTCTCAAAAAAAAAAAAAAAAAAAAAATAAATCAAAATAAAAATTTGGAATAAATATATTAGAGAAAACAAAATATTAAATATGTAAGACTTAGGACAGTAATTAAAGTCATTTCTAAAATTAGATCAAGAGAACGCTGCGCATTAACAAGTTAACTCAGTGTGGAATAAACAAATTTAATTCTGGCACATATACCAACTGACAAAAAAAAACTATATAAACGATAAAAAAATTATTATCAAAAAAATAAAATAAGTGCATGTACAACCGCTAGAACAGACCCAGATCGACCAACCACACTCTAAAAAAAAAAAAAAACAACGTGACCTAGAAGATTATTTAAAAAAAAAAAAAAAAAAGATGAAGATTAGTTAAAAACATTGAACACACATGACCTCAAAAAAAAAAAAAAAAAAAAACAACGTGCCCTAGAGTTATTTAAAAAAAAAAAAAAAAAAGTTGAAGATTAGTTAAAACAATTGAACCAAACATGCCTCAATTAGTTAAAGACTTCCTAACTTTTTCAAACTCGGTTTCTTCTACTATGATTCTCTGCAAATATCTAATGGCAAATCACCTGAATGTATAACAATATAGACTTGACCACAATTAAATATGATAAATAAAAGTGTTTCACGTTTCCAATCTTTTTCTGCAACCTTTTTCTTCCATTCTTGAAAAAGCGATCGACCAATTAAACTCTCATCAATTGATTAATTATTACCCATTTTGGAAGCAAATTGATTAATTAGTCTAAGTTAAACGGATTATTCTTTTGCATTTCTCTGCAACTTGCGCAAGTTTGGCAAAACCCCATTAACGAGCTTTGCTGCCATGTTCATCAACGTATCTACATGCAAAGTCAACCTTCGCCAATATACCCATATATGTATATATAAATATGCATTATTCGTACTCTAAATATTTAACGGCTAATATATACACTTTGCTTTCTTCTTCCTTGACTCTCCAAGCCAGCCTTTATAAGTTACTAAGCCATCGACATATAGTTTTGGTGTGAGTTTGAGGTTTTCTTTACGCCCTTTAGCATCTTTTGCTCAAGAAGAAAAGTTTCTTTCAGTACCATATATGTCTTTTGGTCAATTTCTTTGAAAACAATCAAGGTAAGTGTGTTATATGACTATCTTGTTTGTTTTTATTTTTAATTTTTTAAATTAATTAAAGTTATTAGCCTGGAGTGTTAGTAAACTTTGAGATTTTTTGAAAAGAAAAAAAAAAACAGACAGGATTGTTACTTGATTATGAAAATACAGATCTGAAGATGGTGCACTAATTACCATTTTATGGAGAGATGCTCCTGAGTCCTGACCTAAGAACTTTGACATTTGGGTTATAAATGTTTTTCATTTGTCTAACTATATAGTCAATATCTCTATTGGGATTTGGGTTTTAAAAGACTTAAAACCGAAATTTCAGAGAATTTTGAAGTATTTTTTTGATTGGTTTGTAGTACCGGTAATATGTGTGTACAGTGCCAAAAACGCAAGGGCAGCCCTTTTATGCGGCATCAAAACCGGCTTTAAAATGGTGTGGAGATGTAAGGAGTAGTGAAAGGAACGCGTTTAATGAACAAAAATCCTACTTTATATAAGAAAACTTTATTAATACTAAAACGGTTTTAGCCATGTGAAGCTTTTGTGCATTTTTCATGGGGTGCTTCTCTTGCACTTTTTTTTTTTTTTAATAGAAAACTACCTTTTGTTTTATATATAAATACACAGGCACAAGATCCATTGCTCCTCCAACTTTCAACAAAAACGTCACAAACTTCTCCAATTTAAATATTTTCTTAATTTAATACTAGTTTCTTTTCCTATTTTCTCTCATTTTGAGTTAGAGTTCTTTGAATCTTTCCTCAGTAAAAGCTGATTCTTTTCATGTTTAAACAAAGATTGTGATACTAATTAACAATTCTTGATTAGTATCAAAAATAATTATCAAGTTTGGAATTTGGTTAGTGTCAAGCTTAAATTGCTTAATTAGACTCCCAAGCTTTCTTCTTTTCTTCATTTTTTTTTGGGGGGGGTTTGTAGAGTTGATGAAATGTTTGACTTTTTTTTGTCTTCTTGCAGGTTTAACATTGTTTGTTATTGAATTCAAGAAATGGGTATAATCAGAAATTCTTCAATGAAAAATGGGGATTATTTAGAAGGGATGATCAATGAATATGTTGGAGGCAGAGCTAAGTTGAAGGCTAATAAGAGTATATCAGCTAGGCTTGTTACTGCTCTTACTTGTCTGCAATTTGCTTTTGCCGTTTATGCTACTTTCTTACTATACTATATGAGTCCTGCGGTTGATTTAAGAACAAAACCAGATTTTGCCTGGGCAACAAGATTTGCACAACATTGGAAAGAGTTCATAGTTCCACCCCATGTTATTGGAAGATACCAAGATTCTGCTTCTCTCGTCGGAACTGAAATTCAACCCATTAATCCATCAGAAGTATGTGAGCATGAAAAGATTGATTTTGAGCAGAAGAAATCTAGTGATGTTCAAATGATCAAGTTGAAGACAGAGTTATATAAAGAGATATTGGATTTTCAAAGTAAGTCCATTGGTACAGAAACTTTGTCTGAACTAATGTCAATGAAATCTAAATGGGATTTGCACGGTCCGAATAAACCTAAAGTTACAGTTATCTTAAACCATTTCAAAAGAAAGACACTTTGTGCACAACTTGATTCTTTGCTTCAACAGACACTTCCTTTCCACCATGTTTGGGTTCTTGCATTTGGAAGTCCCAATGAGGTCTCACTTAAAAGAATTGTACAAAGTTATAATGATTCAAGAATCAGTTTCATAAGTTCAAGCTATGATTTTAAGTACTATGGAAGATTTCAAATGGCTTTACAAACTGAAGCAGATCTTGTATATATTGTTGATGATGACATGATTCCTGGAAAGAAAATGCTGCAGATTTTGTCGCACGTAGCAGGAACTGAGAAGTATAAGAACTCAGTTTTGGGCAGCATTGGAAGGATCTTGCCTTTCAGGCAAAAAGACTTTACATTTCCAAGTTATCGAAAGTTTCGATTTCTTTGCTTCAACAGACACTTCCTTTCCACCATGTTTGGGTTCTTGCATTTGGAAGTCCCAATGAGGTCTCACTTAAAAGAATTGTACAAAGTTATAATGATTCAAGAATCAGTTTCATAAGTTCAAGCTATGATTTTAAGTACTATGGAAGATTTCAAATGGCTTTACAAACTGAAGCAGATCTTGTATATATTGTTGATGATGACATGATTCCTGGAAAGAAAATGCTGCAGATTTTGTCGCACGTAGCAGGAACTGAGAAGTATAAGAACTCAGTTTTGGGCAGCATTGGAAGGATCTTGCCTTTCAGGCAAAAAGACTTTACATTTCCAAGTTATCGAAAGTTTCGATCGAAGGAGGCTGGTTTATACCTTCCGGACCCTGCTTATGATATAACAATTGATAAAATTGTGCAGGTAGATTTCCTTTCCAGTTCATGGTTTTTATCTGCAGAGCTTGTTAAGACACTTTTCGTGGAGGCGCCAATGACTTTCATGACCGGAGAAGATCTGCATCTGAGGTATGTACATTGCAGATTATTTCTATCAGCTAGCACCAGTAAAAACTGTTTCTGAAAATAAAATATGGTAATTAGTAAATTTTAGCTCTGTTACTTTCCACGAGTGTTAATGATTATTTTCACAAGTTACCTGAATTTTTCGGTACTATACATAATCTAATAATAAATTGGTATAAAAGTAGCAGATAGTTTTAAGTATTCTATTTTATCAAAATTATGCAATTCTCGGAAATTGAATTACCTGGGTTTGATGGTGACACAATTGAAGTTATATTGGGTTGGTAACCTGTTCAATTATATAGATATATATTTAAACAACTTAATTATAATATTAAAGCAGAAACAATGGGAAGCAAGCCTTTGCAATCTCCAATGTTACTTTGATTACGTGTAGAAATATATTAGATTAATGGTTCAGTTAAATAAAAAAAGACAGGCAACTGACTTGATCTAAAGTGCAGATTAAGTTGAAATTTGACTTGGCAAGCATTTAAAGTGTTAATTATCCTCTCCAATGAGTTTCTATTTAATGCAATGAATGAATTTTCAATGCTGGAATCTTCTTAGCCTGACATTTTTCTAAAATATGCAGTCAACTTTCAGTTTATTAACATATTTATCAAAGGCAAAATGCTAATGTTAATATAATATTTCCCATCTCAAGATGGGTATAAAGATTTGTATATCTACTAATTTGTCTGTTCTAAATTATCTACTCTTGCATACAATATGCATGTTTAATTTCCTGGATAAAGCACAAAAAAAGGAAAAACCTTAGTTGGAAATAGCACTTCCTTTTTAAGATTCCCTGTAGCACTACATGCACATTATTGAGCACTAGTTTGGTGTAGAACTAGAAAAACTTTCAAGTTTATCTTCAATAGAGAGTGCTGAATGAGGTGATATTAATTAGCATTAATCATATACAATTGGTATATAATATAGAAATTTAAACAAGATTAGATATAATTTGTGACTTATTTTCCCTCTTGGTTTTTAATAACCAAATTAAGATAAGAATAACTCTCAAGTCTCAAGCCATTGTTAATTTGTTATCAATTAATATTAAATCATTTCATATTTTGTATCAAAAATATGCAGTTATCAGCTTCAGAAGTACAGAAATGCAGGCTCATTTGTTCTTCCAGTTGACCCGAACGACAAAGAAACATGGGGTGACAGTGAGCATAGACTTGCTTATGTTTCTGAAACAACTGTAATTTTCAAAGACATTGTTCAAGTCCGAGATGATCAATGGTGGAAAGCACTTTCTACTGGTTATGTGACTCAATGGGCTGCAATGTACCCTCAAAAAATAGATGCACTTTTTTACGCACATTCTGTCGATGAAGTTAAAGCACTTGCACCCCTTCTCGAAAAGTTCAGGTCTACTGTTGGAAAAAAGGCCTACATTGTTGTTTCTGGAGGAAATTTTTGCCCTTGCGAAGATGCTGCAACTGCTCTAAACTGGCCTAAGTTGGTATGCAAGGAGCGAAGATTCAAGATATTTGATTTGGATGTTGGAAAGCTGTCAGGAATTTCGAACTCTGAAGTGCCAGTGGTGCAAGCAGTTTATTCAAGCATGAAAGGACTAATCAAGATTCATAATCCCAGTGTGGTAATAACAGTAGCAGATATTGATCCTGATGTGAAGAAAGCTTTGAAAATGGCAACAGAGACCAGTACTAATGTTACAACAATGGTCCTCTTGCCAAGGACTTCCATATCAAAGGTTCTCTGGATGGCTGACCTGAGATCGACTGCTTTGCCAAGTAAGAATTTTGCATACTAATTTTACCATATTAAATTGCTAGTTTTGTATTTACAACTGAAAAGCTAAACTAGGACAACCATACTGATTGATTAACTTGCTTATGCAGATTGGAATAAAATGCGAATTTCTGTTAACATAATCACCCAAAATCGCTCTCCATCCTTAACAAGACTTCTCAATTCACTGAGAAATGCATACTATCTTGGAGATGAAATTCCTATCAGCTTCAACATGGACAGTAAAGTAGATGCAGCAACAATAAGGCTTGTAAATTCATTTAATTGGACTCATGGTCCAAAAACTCTAAGAAGGAGAATCATCCAAGGAGGCCTAATAAGAGCAGTTAGTGAAAGTTGGTATCCTGCATCAGATGATGATTTTGGTCTCCTACTCGAAGATGATATCGAAGTTTCTCCATACTACTATCTATGGATTAAGTATGCTCTCTTAGCCTATCACTATGATCCTCAAGTTTCTTTCCCTGAACTATCCTCCATTTCTTTATACACACCTAAATTGGTTGAGGTTGTCAAAGAAAGGCCTAAATGGAATCCGACCGAGTTTTTCAAAAGAATCCATCCAAATACACCATATCTCCACCAACTACCTTGCAGTTGGGGTGCAGTGTTCTTCCCTAAGCAGTGGAGAGAATTCTATGTTTACATGAACATGAGATTCACCGAAGATGCAAAGGCGAACCCGGTTCAGATTCCCAAGTCTAGAACAAATGGATGGCAAGCTTCATGGAAAAAGTTCCTAATTGACATGATGTACCTTAGAGGCTATGTTAGTCTTTATCCAAATTTTCCAAATCAAGCAAGCTTCTCAACTAACCATATGGAACCAGGAGCTCATATTAGTGCAAAAGACAATGTTGTTAGGCATGACAAGGCAGATTTTGAAGTTCCATTGTTGAAGGAAGATTTCAGAACTTTCTTGCCTAATTTCAAGTTGCCTCCAGCATCAAAATTGCCATCACTGAACTTGTTTAACCAACCAGTTTCGCTTAAGGGTCTTAAAGCAGCAGGAGCTAAGTTGGGGTCAGATGTGCTTAGATGTGATAATGTTACAGAAATTGTGTCTGTTGATCATGAAACAGGTCTGCCAGTTCGCTGCATGAAATTCTGATTACTTGAAAAGAAAAGAGAACCGCTGAGATTTGATCATTCTTTGTACCTTTGAAAAAGATAAGTTTCCTTGTAATGTTTTTTCTTTAATTTTGCTTTGTTCATACATGATTAGTGGAGCAATTAAGTGGAGGAAACAGTGGTATTCAAAGGTGGGAACTCTGTTTCTTCCTTAATTTCCCCATCTAATGGAAGGGGAACAAGAATACAAGGAGAGAAAGATGGGATTGTGTCATCGTATAAAGCCAAAAGTGGCTTTTCCTTCAATTGTCTCCAAAACAAGAAAAAAAGAAACAAAATTTGATTTTCTTTAATTAGCGGCTGTTAACTCGTATCTTGTTATGTTTTTGTCTGCTTTTGTCAATTCCTAAATATTATACTTAGCTGTTATAACAAACAATAAGCATTTTCATTTAATTGAATTGTAAGTTAGAATGGAATTAATAACCATATGGTATCACTTATAAAGGTTTTTTACTCTTCCGACAAGAGTGCCTACCCGAGATCGAACTTATATTCTCAACTTCACAGGTATTTAGGTTTTTTATCACCCAATTAACACCTTATCGATAATTAATACATTTTTTTAACATACTTTTATATTGATATTAGATTTTTTTCAATGAGAAAAATTCTGCAAATGGTCATATAACTATTATAAAATCTTAATCTCATTCTAAATTGTTTTAGGGAAAATTAAATTACACAATATGCAATTATATTGGGTCTAGCTCTTTATGATGTCCCGCTGTCTATCTGGGCTAAATTTTTATGCCAATAATTCTTGAGGAAAGAAATATTGAGCCAAAGCACGACTCGGTTGGCATCAACACTAATTCAAAAACTACCTTCCAATTTTGATCAATAAAATATAGCATCGTTCAAAAAGGGTAAACAAAATAAACACTATGTTTTTAATAGATTTGTTTTTATTTCAATAATTTATTAAAACCACAATTGATAATCTTAATGTTATTCACCAGTTTCCATTGGTGTCTCTTAAATCCATAAAGCAACTTTTTCATTTAATAATAAATATAATTATGTGAATAACAGCTAAAACATATATAAATAATGAATGACTTTGGATCTATTTGGTTCAATTATTTATATCAGCGGATAGTTGATAGCGATTGATGATTGCTGGTGACTTATTACAATTAGCCAATGATAAACGTTTTTGTTTCTTAAAATTTTACAAACAGTTGCTGTTAAAATATAAAATGAGCATTAATGATATAATAGTTTTTGTATATTATGATGTATAATGTATAATGTATAAATATTTTTATTTTAAAGTGAATATATTATTTTTTATTTTAATATATTAATTAAAAATTTTTTAAATTTTTAAATAACCATAATTAAAATGATTAATAAAATTATATCCTAAAAATTTATTAGCAATTATTTTTAAAAATTTTAAAATAATATAAATAAAAATTTTTTAAATTTTAAATAACCATAAATAAAATGATAAATAAAAAATATTAATCTAAAAAATTTTATTAGCAATTATTTTTTTAGGTTAATGAATCGAAATATAATATAAAACAAATTAGCGACCAATTGATTAAAAAAAACTCCAGAACATAGTCTATGGAATCAACAACTGATTGGAACTTCTATCAGCTATTAATTGCTGATTAAAAAATGCTTATCAAATACATTAATTGTTGGGTACGACTTTAAACTTAATTATTAGGTACAAATCAGCTATAAGCTCTATGTATCAATTGAATCAAACTTTCTTTTAATTGGTATTTCTACTAAGTTTCATGTTAGGGTCCTATCCATAGAATGTATGGTTAATAAATATGATAAATGTCCGAATGCATAATTTTTCCACTAAATTTTCTTCAAATTGTCATTTGTGCCTCTTAACTTTTCGAGGGACCACTTGTATCCCTTAACTCGTTTTTTTGTAACTTTTTTACCCCAGAGCAAATTGAAACTTTTCCGTGAATTACACTTGCATTGACGTATCATAAATAGTTGAAATGTCATCATTTGAGATGTCACGTTAGTTTCCACATGTTCAAAACTGACGAGAAAGAGAAAAACAAAATTTTAATTGAAAGATCACAACAACTGAGATGAAAGATCAACTTTTTTTTTTGAAAAATAAAATTAAAAGAAACAAAAATCTATTTTAAAAAAAAATCATTACTTGCGAAACGAAGAATCTCAAGATGAGGAGAAGTTAGAAAATGAAGCAATCTCAAGATGAGGAGAAGTTAGAAAATGAAGCAGTATCATAATTTTTCAAAAAAGTAACATGATTCACCATTAATGGAGGCCAAGAACAAAGCAGAGCAGCTAAAATCAAGAAAAACAAGAAGCACCTGCAAAAATTTTTTTATACTTTTGGATCTGGTTGGATTGAATATGACTATTTCAAAATTCCATGATACAAATTGCATGCAAAATTAAAGAAGATAACATGCCTAAAAGATGAAACTTTGATAGAAATTTAAGGTAATTAAGAGAGATTTAAGAGGCAAAAGAAAAATTATGGAATTAGAGAGATTTAAAGGAAAGTAAAGGATTTATCAAATTTAAGTTGAAAAGGGATGGAAACAAACTTAGATTATATAGAATCAAGAATCTATAAGATGATGATTTTGGTTTTGCTCTCTTTTTTTTGCTATCTACATGTGTCATTTTCGTGTAGAGATGACCGAGTTTTGTGAAGAAAAAAAGAAAGAAGGATGAAGAAGATAGATAAAAAGGAAAATTGAAAGAACAAGATTGAAGAGAAAGGTAAAGGAGTCCAAATATGACGTCATTTAAGCCACGTCAGATAATTATCAGAATATCACGCTTTAACTAGCGTTTGAAGTCACGCTAAGCCTTCCTAGCATGACAAGGGGTAAAAAAGCTAAAAAAACACTAGTTAAGGGGCATAAGTGGTCTCTCGCAAAATTAAGGGGCACAAATGACAATTTGAAAAAAATTCAGAGAAGAAATTATGCAATCGTCCTATGATAAATGTACTGCTAAAACTTTCAGTTTTACTATATTTTACGCTTCATTTCTATGTTAATTTTTTTTTAATTTTAATAAGAGTAAAACAATTTCATAATTTAGTTTAACAATTTGTTCTAGCGGATAATTAATAAATGTTGGGTTGAATGATGATAAATTTCATAATAATAAAAGTTGAATTGTGTTACTAAATTTTTCTTATAAATTTTAAATGTAAAATTACATATTAACACAAGAGACTTTAACATTTGATTGTGTATGGTATATAGTTATATAGCCATATATGCATGGATTCCATATGAATCATTTTGGTATGAAATATGATTGTGATAATAATTAACATGCTACATAAAGATTTTAAGCTAGTTAATGGTATATAAAAGGCAAGCAGTTAAGTCTAGCCTTACTTTGTTTTTTTTTAAACCACCAGTGTCCGGACTGAGATCGCTTATTCCGATTTGGAAATTTAATCACAGTTAAGACTTTTTCTTCCTCTTGTCCCGACTAGCCTTGCTCATTGTTTAATGAGTAATGAATTGATTATATATTTATATATGTCAATATTTGTTGTTCTCATTGTCCACTCACGGTAAGTTATAAAAAAAATTCATAATTTTTTTTTTTAAACTAATTCATAATTTTGTTGAAATAGAAAATTAATAATTAAGTCCAACGTGGCACATAATAGTTGGCCTTAAAAAGAGCCAAACAACAGCCACGTCAGCTTCTTATTTCAATGGAAATTCAAAATTCTGGGCGGGGCAATATTGTCACATAAAATATTCAGTTTCCTTTCCTTTTTTTCAAATCATATTAAATATATATTTTATTCATTTAATTTCCAGTATCTGCATAGAATAGAACCGGTGTATTCAAATCTCTGTCTCTCTTCTTATATATACAAATACGACTGCTTCCCTCTCGCGCTTTTTGTGTCTCTAAAATCTCTACATTGATCGATTGAAGGAAGTAAGTTTCCAAACCCTAACATCTGTACTATTTGATTGCAATTCTTTTGCTACATTTCTGGTTTTGTTTCGTCTTGTTTTCGATTTTTCTTTTCCGGTCTTAGTTGATCGATTGTTTGGTGGTTTTTTGCCTGCATTTGAATTTTGTATTTGAGGCAATATAATTCTTTGAATTTTCCTTTGTCATATCTCATATTTTTCTTTTTCCAATTAATATCAGATCAAGTTTGTTTTCAGTGAATCAAAATGTTTTGTAATGAACAACTGGGAAATGGTCAGCTCTGTTACTTTTATTCTTCTAGTGGTAATGAGTATGGCTTTACCTATCTTATAGGAAGAGTGTAGCAATGTGTATAAGTTTGTTTGTTGATAGGTGCATGGTTATTTCAGGGTAAAAAGACTGGTCTAGAAGTTTTGTTAGAAAAATTTCATGAAATCTGACTGTTTTTTGTGTTTTGTAGTTAAATTTTTTTTTTTTTAATATAAGGTAGAAACCATTTCTATGGCACTTTAATTTTGATGTGTTTGGTTGCCTACTCTGAAGCTAAAATAATTGTGCATGTCAGGGTTTATATGCTTTATTGAATATCTGCTCTGCCTTCTTGAAATTGAAGAGTGCAACGTTTGTCCCAAAACATGCTCAAGGTTGTGATTTCTTTTTCTCAGCATCTGATCTTTCTGACTTGAGTGTCAAGAAAAAAAATGCATAGCAAGATGGGATCCATACTCCGCAGGTTTTGCTTAACTGTAGTTTGATTTTGGGAAGTAGCGAGCATATTTTTTTACTTCTAGTGTTCTAGCATTCTCCTGGTTCTTTTATCTCAAGATTAGTAATATTGTAAATGTAGCACTAAGATCAGTTTTCCAAACTACCTTGATTCCTCTCTTGTTTTACTTGCAGTGGACATTCTAGGAAAACAAATGAGAGTACCAGGCTCGTTGTCACTGCAATTCTGGGAGCTGTCTTTGGATTTGTTGTTGGTATTTCATTTCCTCCAGTTTCTCTTACCAAGGTTTGCTCACCTCCACTAGAACTTTCCTTTATCAAAGGAGAAACCTGTCATCCGTTTGATTTTTTTTTTCCGCCAACTATTGCAGATTCACATGCCTTCAGGCCTTGTATCAACTTTTGATCTACCCTTTACTGATGAAAGTAGGAGCAGCAAACCTATTCCCAGGGTACTTATGGGGCTTACTCTGGACATTTCCTTTTATATAATTATTTTTATGCATAGATTTATTAACTACTTTTTCCAAGCTGAGCCCATGATATGCCATGGATTGCTTGTTTGCTTCCAGATTTATGTCCCAAAAAATCCTCGTGGTGCAGAGTCATTACCCCCAGGAATAGTTGTGCCAGAATCTGACTTTTACTTGCGCAGATTATGGGGTGAACCTAGTGAGGTATGTTAAAAATTCAAGTTCTATAACAAAAATGCAAGTGATTATGCTGAACTCTTATTACCTACAATTGAGAGGGACTGCTGGAGTAAGCCAGGTCTACTTACATCTCACTGTTGTTCTACCAAGTAAAGTTGAATGGGAATATAATTATCTGGAATTTTGAATGACTGATGACCTTTTGGAATTGGATGTCAAGTTATAAAAGCAACTAATTCTTGTAGTTTTTTTAATGGCTGTTTGCATGTATGTATTCATGATTGCACACCAGCACTACATTTAAATAATGCTAAATGCAACAATTGGGAATATGTATTCTATGGCCCATGTAATTTTGACGCGTGACGGAACCATATACTTGAATGGACAACATATGTGCATAATACATGCATGTTCTAATAGATAATTTGTATCGAAAGGAAAGAATGGGAAAGGAAAGGTGAATTGGATATGTATTTACGTATACTCTTACTGTATCTTACTCTTTCAATATGTCTATATCTATGCTTAATAAATTGGAACACATTGTTTTGGATGACCACCATTTATTGAGGAGAAATGTAATTTTCACATAAGTCTTGCAATGGATGTCATGGAATTTGCAGGATCTGAAGAAGAAGCCAAAGTATTTAGTGACATTTACAGTTGGTTATGATCAGAGGGAAAACATCAATGCAGCTGTTCAAAAGGTTAATGCACAAACTTTTTACAGTCCCTTTTTAATTGTTTTTATTCTCCCAGATACTAAAGCTTTTTTTTCCCATGTATTTGTATTAGTTTTCTGATGATTTCACAATTATGCTTTTCCACTATGATGGCCGGACAAGTGAATGGGATGAATTTGAGTGGTCAAAAAGTGCAATCCACGTCAGTGTAAGAAGACAAACAAAATGGTAAAGTTTATGTATGGTTTAAATAATTGGATATGAAGATTTAGCTGAGTTGAGTATTGACGTTCTAACTCTACAGTTTCCGGTAGGGAACTTTAAATGCAGAATAAGAATTTTTATACTGCGCTAAGTTGCTCTTCTGCTTTCTGCTTTGTTGAAGCTGCTAAATCTCATGGTCATGCATGAAGTTAAATACAATTTTCTAGCCTGCTCTCATTCATGCCATATACGTTTTTCAGGTGGTATGCAAAGAGGTTTTTGCATCCTGACATTGTAGCTGCTTATGAATATATTTTCATATGGGATGAAGATCTTGGGGTGGAGCACTTCAATGCAGACAAGTAAGTTAAAACTTGTCATATTTCTGCTGAACTCAACTGTTCCTTGCTTCATTTCTTTTTTTTTTTTTCCTTATTAATTTACTAGGTATATTGAGTTGGTTAAGAAACATGGTCTGGAGATTTCTCAGCCAGGTCTTGAACCCAATAATGGACTTACATGGCAGATGACAAAGCGGATAGGTGACAGTGAAGTTCACAAGTACTTTCTGTCGAATAAACTCAGTGGATGAGGTTTTATTATATCTTATAAAATCGTTTACTTCACCTTTTAAAGAGATGATCTTTGGATTGGACAGGATTACACAGGAGAAAGCAGGGTGGTGTAGTGACCCACTTTTGCCTCCATGTTCTGCGTATGCTTTCTCTCTCTCTACCTCTGTGTGTGTGTGTATGTGTCTATCTACATTCACATGTACATGTGAATATTTTCTAATGTGCTTTTGTTCATTCAGCTTTGTGGAAATCATGGCCCCTGTGTTTTCTCGGGAGGCTTGGCGTTGCGTGTGGCATATGATTCAGGTATATTCTATTCTATGATTGTGTAGCTAGGTTATATAGAGCATGGTACATGCTTTGCATTAACTGTAAAATTTTAGAAATTATGGTTCAATTCTAAGTTCATCCCTTTCAATAAGTAATTCACTGTTCTTTATTCCCAGTCTTCTTTAATAAGTGCATGGGAGAGGTAAAGATCAAGTGTTCGTAAGATGCATGAGCACGGCCTGTGTGATCAGTCTATACATGATTTTTGTTCACCATTTTTCACTTTCTAGTTTCTTTTCAAAACAATAATATATAATGTGCTTGTAGAATGATTTGGTGCATGGATGGGGACTGGATTTTGCTCTCAGAAGATGTGTAGAGGTAAAAGTTTTCATCTATGGCCTTTTTCCTATTTGTAATTGATGAGAAATTATTTTTTTCAATTAGTACCTTCATATTCGGAAGATGACGCTACCATGTTGATGATGCCTGTTGATGTTATAGTGAAGGATCAGTCAAATTTTCCTGTAGGCTTATTACTTTTTTACCTTCCACCACTATATTCCCAAGGAGATTTGGTAGCCCATTGAAATATTTTGTTGGAAAAAGAATATGTAAAGCATGTATGTGTAATAAATATGATAGTGTGCGTCTCAGTTTCAGATTACACGCTTTTGGAAACCCAACCCTTTCAAAACGCAGTTTAGAGTTAAATGATTGAAATACAAGAATGACCCTAGTCCTTTGTCCATCTGCTTCTTTGTGTGCATACAAATCCATGCTTTTGCATCTCTTTCCTCAGCACCTTTTTTTTTTTTTTTGAGTCTTCCTTAAGGGAACTAGAGTATATTTATCATTGAAGTTAGATGGTTCTCCAAAATTATACTTCTTTTAATTTATGTCAAGCAAGTTTCCTTTTGAGTAAACTGTGAAAGCCCCTTAATAACTTTGTCTTTGATTCGCTACTTCCGTTTTGAATCGAGTTCTTGTTATTGTTGCTTTGCTTTACAGCCTGCACACGAAAAAATTGGAGTGGTTGATTCACAATGGATTGTTCATCAAGTTGTTCCTTCTCTTGGGAATCAGGTGAGCAACTACACTAGACCAGGCATAGTTCCAATTCAGAACCTGGATCAAACCAGTTCTACAAACCAGAATTAGCCCCTCCTAGGAAACACGAAAAAAGACCAATACCAGCTGAAACTGCAAACCGGGTAGATTGGTTTGAACCATTGCTGGCCCTAGCTATGTGAAGGTTATGTTTGCTTCACTCTAGATTTAGGATATTTTTAATAAATGATGTTTTGTTTAAGTATAGTTTTTAATAAAACCAACAAAACCAATTTAGTTATTTAAAAGATAAACTCGGATGAGGATTATTTGGTTTTAGACATCCATTTCTATTTGGTTTTAGAACCAAATTGGCAATGATAGTTCTTTCTTCCATGGTCTGTTGTGTTATAAACAAAATGCAGTCCGTGAATGATGGAGCCAAGATGTCACTTTGTGAAATCTGAGCATGGAACTAAATCACAGGGGAAGTTAATTTCTTTCTGGGGACATTGATCCCTTATGTGGGTTATTTGTGGTTAAACTTCAATCATTTTGAAAAGCCCCTATATGTTTCTTTTGGAACTTTATCAAAACTATCAATCTAGTTGGTTTCAGTCTCACATTCTTAGGATAAGCAGCTTTTCCTTTTCAAAGACAACAATAGAGCATCTTTTTACCTTGCATACTTCATTATGAACATTTTTTTACTCTGGTATCTCCTTGCTTGTTTATCCTTGTTTGTATCTTGGTTATGGTCTCACTACTGTGAATTCTTTTGCAAAATGTTTAGGGAGAGTCTGAAGATGGAAGAGCTCCATGGGAAGGGGTATGAATATTGAACATTCTAAAATTATATTAGATCCATAATTTGATTTTTTTTTTATGAATATAACACCTATTTTTCCTTTATGGAATATAAACAAAGTTCTAAAGTACATTTTCCTTCCCTTGCATATATTTTTTTTCCCCTTTCCTATACTATGGACAGGTGAGAGAAAGGTGCAGAAATGAATGGGCTATGTTCCAGAATCGTCTCACAAACGCTGACCAGAAGTACCGAACTCGGATTACCAGAAAATGATTTTTGTATCTTTGCGGTCCTTTTCTGAGCTATATCCTTGTGTATCCTATAAAGTATTAAAGTCCTCCTCTTTAGGTTCATGTCGTGAAATTGGTAGGACATTTTGCAGTTACACAGGAGAAGAATTTTTCTCCTTTTGGTATATCATATATGTTTCTCTCTTTTTTTTTATCATGCCGGCTTTGTGATCATATAACTGATATTTTGTATAAAATATTTATACAACAGTTTAGATTTATGATCTAGCTTCTGTGAGGTATCCGATTTTCAGAAACTTCACTTCCGACGATATCTTTTGTAGCTGCTGCTTCTGTGCTACTTTTATGATCTTATATTGTAAAGATATGTAAAGGAAAATTTTGGTTGACCTGAACTTTACAGGGATGGGGACTAGACTAGGTGTGTGGTCAAAGCTGACTATTGGCTCATGCCTAAATTGTATAAACCCTAACTTTGTGCAGAAATTTCAGTTTTGAACATGATTTCTTGGGCTGGGAAATCAATACAAGAGGCCTTCCTCTTAAGTCATTACTGTCATGACAGCTGCATGAAGATGTAAGTGGTCAGGATTCAAAATTATTCAAGAGCCCATGATCTATGGTTGTCATCCAGTACTATATAATATACTATCGGGAAATAAATCAACTCGTAGTAAGGATAAGAAATCATAATGCAAATTTATTATTATAAGCATGCCAATGGAACCCGAGATTTTTAGGTCCTAAAGCATCACTCTTTGCTATTGGGCTGAGAGATTATTTGCATTTATATTTAAGTACTCGGATTTAGGTATTATCTTAAACGAAAATCGCAAGCAATAGTGACGTTTCTAGAGCATTAGGCCGTCTTCAACTTCTTAAACATTTTCTTTAACTTATGCATTTGAAGTTGTTTTTAAAATTGTTAGACTAAATTGTAAATAATTGAATATAATTTTCAAAAACAATTTAATTTAATACCAAATAGTCATTTATATGGAGCAAAAATAACTTAAAAAATGGTAAATTCAATATTAACATACGGCTGAATTAGTAAAATAAATTGTATTTTTCAAGCAAATTTAATTATAAAATTGGGAATGCAAGTAGCATTAGAAATTAGAAGAAAAAAAAAAACTAATCCTCAAAATGTGTATTTAAAAATAATTGGTGACAATTTATTTCAAATAAATCAACCTATACAAAAAGGTGGCTATCCTTGATGACCTAGGATCCAATGCACAAATTGAGCAAGACCCTTTTTGTAACATCCACCGGCCAATTCCGGAAAACCAGACAGCGGATGCCACATTCGGTGCCTGAGCACCATCTTATGTCACTTATTAAAGTTAGATCACAAATTAGAAGTAGTTAGAGTTTTATAAGGAGGCAAGTAATTAACATTTTAAATGTTATTTAAAAATAATTGGTTGGACATTTATTTCAAAAATAAACCTATACAAAAAAGGTGGCTATTCCTATTGACCCTCAGGATCATTGCCAATTGAGCCCAGACCCTTTTGACATCCACCGGGCCAATTCGGAAAAACAGGAACGGATGCCACATTCGGTGCACTGATCACCGGTTTCTTCGGTGCCTGAGCACCATCTTATGTCACTTATTAAAGTTAGATCACAAATTAGAAGTAGTTAGAGTTTTATAAGGAGGCAAGTAATTAACATTTTTTTTAAAAAAAAAAAATTTCACATGATTTGCCTTGGTGTTGATGCATTTAATTGAGAAAGAAAAGGAGAGTTTTGTCTTCTTCACACTACAACACACACATTTATTCCAATATATATATGGGTGTGTGTGTGTGTGTGACCTAATTACAAAAAATGATAATGCAATATTGAGGAGCTCTTTTTTTCCTTTTTTTTTTTTTTTTTTTCTTGGTTAGCGATTGTGAATGTTCCAAGCGGAGACCCAGATTGAAAAGGATACACTATTCTTTGGAGTTAAAATGGAATTTTTTTTCCTTTTTTTTTTTTTTTTTCTTGGTTGGCGATTGTGATGTTCCAAGGGAGACCCAATTGAAAAGGGATATACATATCTTTGGAGTAAAATGGAAGTTTTTTTTTTTGCATCACCAAACATTAATTGAGTTTGAGAGTGGCAAAGCTTTTTTTTGCTTGCTTTGGCAGATACCTCACCATTCTCTCCATTTTATAAAAAAGTAAATCTCACCTTCCTAGCTTGTGTGTTAAGAGTCATTTAGGCTCTCTATTTTTAATTAAGTGCCAAAAAAATATAGGTAAGCTCGTAAAATATATATATGTATGTATAGCCTGCAATTATTGACAAAAAAGAAAGTACCTACTTGACCAAAAAACTTCATCAACAACCAAAAAGAAAAAAGAAAAATGAAAAAACAATATGTAACTTCTCCAATTTCTGTTCTATAAAGGAAAATTACATGTTCAAAGGGAAAAAGACTCGAAGACATTCTACTATAAATGTCACAAATTTTTATAACAAAAAGGGAAATCTTTCCTAAGAGGTAATTAATTACAATTTCATGCCAATAAGCAATCATGGTTACAACTTGACTTTTAAGTCCTCACATTATGACTTCTTTGAACCTTAACTAGGTTAGAGTCACACAAATAAGTAAAGGGTTAAAAGGATACTAAAAAAATGTAATTTTTGAAGAGAACGAAGACTTAATTACTAAATTACTAATCTGAGTTTCAAAAACCATAGGTCTAATAAAAAATTTATATTAATTTCATATTATTTTCAGACATATATTTGTGGAATTGTACTTGTAGGAGATATGTTAGACAAGTGTTGAACTAAGTAAAGAAAATTGAAAGCGGTAAAAAGTCTTGTACTTACTATAGCTTTACACAATACACACTAACTAATATTTAACATCTCTATCCAACACCTTTCAATTAATTGTTTTTTTTTTTTTTAAGTATTAGAAAAGGGGATTCGAATCTGAATATATTGTTAGGTAGTACATACATTTTCTACTAGGTTATGCCTCAGTATGCACATTTCAATTAATTGTTGGTAAACATAAAATTTTAAATTGATTAAAAAAAAAGAAAGGGTTTTAGAAGAAAATGATGGTTTTATAAACTGAAATGGAACTCTTACCAGATTTGACTGTAATCTTGGCTCAACCAACTTGCTTGTGGAAGTGAGAACCCACATGATAGAAAACCAAAAAACCAAACAAATAACTAATATTTCAGAGTTAGGCACCAAACACTCCCACCCTCATATAAGGCTCCTAAACTTGCATTCTCTCACAAGCCAACTGTCACTTAATCTCTTCCTTTCTTGAGTCTTAATAAGCTCAAACCTCTCTCATTTTCATCTCCACCATTCCTTATCTTTACTGGCAGGATTCTGGAGTTGTAGGAGCCCTATTTCTTGCATATATAAGCAATTTTTATATTTTTCAAAGGTTTGTGTTCTTAATTTGTGGGTCTTGGATACCATTTTGGAGTTCTTTATGTTTGTATATGCATGACATTACAATCTTTCTTTCTTCTTTTTTTTTCTGGATTTTCAGGGCTCCTTACAACTCCAAGAATCTCTTATTGAATAAATTTTTTGCAGGTACGTTTATCTTCTTCTTTCTTGGTCCTTAATGATATGAATTTTTGAAGATTTTATGCAAAAAGGTTTTACATGAAGCACACAATGTAATTTGTTGGGGCTGGTAAATAAAATAAATAAATAATCACAATCTACGTACCCTGTAGCTTATTAATTGTTCGTTAAATTATAGACAACGCATAATTGGACTCAGCAATCAAAAAGATTTGTTTACAGATAGAGCTAATCTATCAAGCAATCTTTTCGATTTTTTAATAAATTTGTTTAACTTTATAGCTAATAAGCTACCAACTAGCATCATTACATATAGCTACGAAATAGAATAAAGATTATTTTTGTCTCCAACTTATTAAGAGTGGCTCAAGTGATAATATACACTTGAATTCACCGGATGACTCTATAAAATTAAAGTTCGACGAGTGGAAAAACATTTAAAGGGAGAGGTCGTCTTATACCGAAAAAGAGCGTTGAGATATTCGAGGGAATTTTTTTTTTTTTTTGACTCCAAAGCATTTTGAGATATGGTATAAATTTGAGCCTAACCTTATTTTATTTTGGCAGAAGATGGGAGAAATGTCAAGCTTTCAGTTGGGTGTTATTGGTGCACTGTTTCTTTCAGTGGCATCATCTGTCTCTATTGTTATATGCAATAAAGCTTTGATGAGCAATCTTGGCTTCCCCTTTGGTAAATCAACTTCTTTGTTTACTCTTAATTTATCATTATTTTATTTGATAATAATTATCAAAAATAAATTTGTGGATTTAATTTGAGTTCAATATGGAGTTTGTAATATTCAAATATTTTTTTCATGCCCTTTGTTTAATATTATTCAATTAATTTGTTTAATATTATTCAATTAATTTCTTTTCTTTATTTCTTGTTTTGGGTATATTTAGCAACAACTCTCACTAGTTGGCACCTCATGGTAACTTTCTGCACTCTTCACTGTGCACAACGTTTCAACTTATTTGAGTCCAAAGCCATTGACATGAAGACTGTGATGCTTTTTGGCATTCTTAATGGTGTTTCTATTGGCCTTCTGAATTTGAGTCTCGGTTTCAATTCCATTGGATTCTACCAGGTAAACCTCTCTATTTATTTTCACTAATTATTTTCAAATCTCAATTCGAGTATTCGAATCAAGTATTTCGAGCGTCTATCTCTTAGTCTGATTTTATATTAGACATTTCTATCTTTCTTCTTCTTTTTTTGTAAAGATAATTATTAGAAGGATTTTCACTATTTCACATATAAAGAAATGGGTTTTGTTAGCAATTGGATTTAAATTTAATGATTTTTTTTAAAATATTGTTGCAGATGACCAAACTTGCAATCATACCATTCACTGTTCTATTGGAAACTCTTTTCCTCAAAAAACAATTCAGGTTACTAATATATTTATATATATATATACAATTTCACTATTTGCAATATTGATTGAAAAACAATTTTCTAAAATCTCACTATAATTTTTTTTTTCTCTTTTTTTTTTCCCTTGCAGCCAGAAAATTAAATTAGCTCTATTCCTCTTGCTCATCGGAGTTGGCATTGCTTCAGTGACAGATCTCCAACTCAATGTTCTTGGGACAGTTCTCTCTCTGCTAGCCATTGTAACCACATGTGTTGGCCAAATTGTATCCTTTCTTTTAATACCATATTATTTAATTATTTTCTTGATAATTTAGCATTTATATTAAATATATGGATGGACTCACAATATATAATAATTCTTTAACTTAGTTTCTTAATTCAGCTTACAAATACAATACAAAAGAGGCTCAATGTGTCTTCTACACAGTTGCTTTATCAGTCTGCTCCATTTCAAGCAGCAATTCTTTTTGTCTCAGGCCCTTTGGTTGATCAATTTTTGACCAAAAAGAATGTTTTTGCTTACAAATATTCTCCTATTGTCTTGGTATGTATATATATATAATTCTCTACTTCCCTTTTATCTTCTTGTTATCAAATTAATTACATTTAAACAGTAATAACATTTTTTAACATTTTTGCAGGCTTTTATCATCCTCTCATGCCTTATATCAGTGTCTGTAAATTTTAGCACTTTCATGGTTATAGGGAAGACATCACCAGTTACATATCAAGTTCTTGGTCACCTCAAAACTTGCCTTGTTCTTGCTTTTGGGTATACATTATTGCATGACCCTTTCACAATGAGAAACATTATTGGGATTCTTGTTGCCATTTTTGGCATGGGCTTATACTCTTATTTCTGCACCCAAGAGAATAAGAAAAAACAATCAACTGACCTTTCTTTGGGGCCTCAGGTACCTTCTTAATTCCCTTCCTCTCTCTTTTTTTTTTTTTTCCCCCTCACTAATAAGGAGCTAAGCCTGTCCGAATTCGATTAGAATATGAGAATGGATGCTTAAACTTGACTCGTTTATAATTTATAATTAAAAAAGAATTCCTCGCTCAAGTTTGGACTGTATATTAAATGAGTTCCATAAATAGGCTTAAGCTTGTTAACGATTCGAGGTCGAACGAGCTTTTTTAAAGTCAAGCCTCAAATAGTTCACGAGTTGAGTCATTTATCGTTTTGCTAATAATTAATAAATAGAAAATTATTTAAAAAGGATAATTTTTGGTTATGGATCAAATACATATGTGACTGAGAAATAGTGTTTCCTGTTTCAGATGAAGGACAAGGATAACACACCACTCTTAGCTATGCAAGACAAAGAAAGCCTCGAGGCAAAGAAATCAGCAAAGGACTCTCTCGTCTAAGTAAAATAGGATTTTTCTTTTTTTTTTTTTTTTAATTAAAGGGTGGGGTCCAGATAAGAGGGTGTTGTTTGGTGTAAACATTTTGTTGAGTGTAAGTGAGGAAATGATTTTGATTCTTTTAATAAACACTCTTTCTTTATTTGTTTAATTCAAGTAAAAAAAATCTTTATCAATGGAATTATGGAACTGTTAATAGATATTTCATTTCAATAGTTTTTTTTTATTAATATATATGATTCATGATTTATATCAATTATCAATTCATTATATTGTAAAAATGATAAATCATTATAAAGTTTTATATACGTTGTATTTCCTTTCAGAATATGCAATCCACAAGTACACGGGTCGTACAAGTAGTAAAAAAGATTATCGTCCGATAGAAATTGACTAATAGACTATTAATTTTCTATGTTCGACAATTATTAAGAAGACCAAATAAAATGGAATTGATTTAAACTAAGTTGCAATTAAAATTAGCAAGTGGAGATAATCAAAAGGAAATTCAGGCAAATAATTATTGAGATGATCTAGCTATGGTGTTTCTATTAGTTCTTAGTGCAAACCATGAATAGTTGATTTATAGTGTCCAAGTTCCTCTCTTGAGTTTAAATAAACCACTAAAACCACATGATATCTACTCTCGTAGCTTAATATTATTAAAACGTTTTTATATTAATTCCAGAAAGAGAACTAACCTACAGTATCCAGATTCATCTCTTGAGTTTAAAATAGAATGTTAAAATCATGCGACATCTACTCTCGCAACATAACACAATTAAAATTCATTAAGCCAGTGTTAATTCTTTTTATCCTCAGAAAACTTAGCCTATCTCTAGGTCTAAAATTCTAGGTTTAACATGTGAGATCTATTCTAATTTGTCAATCTCTCGATGATTTCAAACAGATCTAAAATCATGTAAATATAAGTACCAACATATTCACGGACATTAAGTTCAAACACATTAAATCAAAAATTTCAGCATTTAAACATAAATCAAACTATTCAAAGTTGTATTTTTAAATAAATGGATAAATTTCATAACTAGATCAGGATATTTAGCCTAGCATTATTACAAATATATTAATCAAATTAAAATACACAAAAGGTTTAAAAGGCATAAATAACAAACTTTGGGGTTTATTTCGTTGGTTGACCACGGCGCTCACGTCCCAAGCCTTAAGATAAATCCTTCCTGTTACTCCTTTTTGTGTTGTAGTAATACTAGTGGCTAAGGCCACCGACTCTCTCTCATATTTGGCTGATTTCTTTTGATTGGCTCACACCTTACTCTTATTCTCTCATGCGTGGCAACAAGTGCCAAGGGAGTGTGTAACCTTGACAACTTCTTCTTTGCTTCTTTATATGGTCTCTTTACTTTGCCCTTATTGGTCCACATCACTCACCATTTTCACAAATTGAGACCGAAAAGCTGTCTTCACTGCCCAAAGAAATGATAAAAAAAAGGTGAAGGGAGCTACTCATGAAGTTAGGTGCAATGTTTCTTCAAAACTGCAGCGTTTTTGTCCCAAACAATCTGTCAGAAGATCATTTCACTGATTGTTTTGCACTTGGTCCACATTCTTCCACATTAATCAAATCTCCTTCTTTCTTTCTCTTTGGGGTGGACATGCATTGGGCTTTGGAGTTGTATGGTTGTTAGGAGAATTACTTGGACTTCAACAACAACAAGATTTCAAGAGCTTCCTTTGCATTGATGAGGCACCAATTGGATCACAATCGATCTATTTTTGCTTTAAATAGTAAATGGATGTTGCTCATGTGCCAACAAAATAAAAGAGAGAAAACTTATGCAAAATGGAGTTTTATTCTTATTTTTATATTTAAAATGCAACTGAATTAAATTAAAACAAATGATAAAATATTTGCATATTTTGTTGTTATCAATATATTAATTAATAGAATGTTGATCATCTAAATTACTGTTTTTAGAGAGAACCGCCAAAAAAAAATATTTGGTGATAAATGTTAAAATTTTTGTTTGTTATAAATTTCATATTAAATTTTAAACTTTTTATTTGATAAAATTTTCAATGGGTTGATCAAAATCACAAACCAATTTCATATTAAATAATTATAGGGTTTGCACTTGCAAATATTACTTTGAGCAATGTATATTAGCATAAAGTTATTTCTCAAAGCCCAAGTCACAGGGCCCTACACTACACACAATCAGTTTATTGTATTTGATACATTATGATAAACAGTTCATTGTCTTTTGATTTTGCATGGGCTTCGTTCTGATTATGGGCGGACCCAGTCCAAATCCAACAAATCTAAAACCACCAAAAGCCCAAAAAATCCAATAATTCACTTCACACCTTCAATTGAATGAACTCTTTTTGGTTTTTGGTTTGATAGAGACGGTAGTATATTAAATTATAAGTTGATTCTCATGCATTGCACCCAAATTTTATATTTATAACTAATTAAAAGTGATTAGTTATTGACCGTACTGTAATTATTTTATTCATAGAAAATACTATTTTTATAATAAATCTGATTTATAACTTTTATCATATTCATTAGTACAATAATATATTAATTTAATTCACTGATATGATTTTATTAAATTATAAAATTATGCACTTGGCAAAAAAACAAACTTAAATATGATGACAAACAGGCGGTGGTCTGGTTGGTCTTCTCACTTATGTGAGGAGTGGGAGATCTCGAGTTCAAATCCTCTTCGACCAAAGTTGTTTTCACTAGTTTGGTGAGTCGAGGGGAGAGATACCTCCAGTTGTATAACCCGTAGTGTTATCTCAACCCATATAAGCTTCCAATGAATTAAAAAACAAACTTAATACGAAAAATTAATTGTTTAAACTAACATTTTAGAAAGAATTAAAAAAGAAAAAACATACATAATTGCAGGATACAAAGCAAATCTGTCAGGTAGAGTATGGGGCAAATAAATTATTCCTGTAAATATATGATTAAAACTATATATGTCTGTGTGTGAGGCAGGTGACATAGAAATAGAATATTCTACTTCAAATAAATAAATTTTACATATATGTAAATGAAGGTGGAATTAGCAAGATTTAATTAATAATAATTGAAGATTTTAACATTGGTGGGTAGGTAAGCTTCCAATTGTTCCACTCAAGATTTTGATATATGAATTTCTCTTTTTGAAAATGTTTGGTTGATTTTAGCGAGTGAGATTCCTATATAAAGAACCCAACTTAGGTTAGAAAATTTAGTGATAATGATATTTTTTTGGTAGTTAATCTTTGTCAAATTACTTATTCCATACGAAATAAGGATCGTTTAATTATATGATTGGTCAAGATTGATACTTTAAAAAAGTTTGACTCTATAAAACAGGTAACCATGATTCAACCAATTCAATATTTAATATAATATGTTATATGGTATGAATAATTATTTATCACCAAGCCTACTAATTTAATTCACTAAACAAATCACCGTGCATGCCTTATAAATTTGCTATGGATTCATAGAGAATAAACAATAAATTGTGAATCTCGATAAGTGATAATTTGGTCGATCTTTTTATTTATGTGAAAAATGAAAGGTTTTCAGTTTTAATCCTCTCAACTACATTTGTTTTTACCAGTTTGGTGCGTGAAGGAGAAAGTAACCACCTGTTATACAGCTCAACAATATTATTTCGTTCTATTGGACCTCAGATGAATTTGAAAAAAAAGAATAAATTATGTATATGTTATATATTTTTCATTTAACCAATAAAAAAGGTAAGTGGCCATAAATTTTTTTTTTTATTCTCTCTTTTTCATTTAGAACGAAAACGTAATATTAAAAGTTTGTTTTGATGGAAGAACTTATATTTAAAAATGAATGAGACTGTTAGAATATTTTAATTGGAACCGAAAACTAAAATCCATTGAAGAAATATTCATTGGGTCTTAAAACGTACTTAACCGATTAGATAGTTTGCTTCATTTTATATAAAAATAATTAATTTTTCACCAAAATAAAAAAAAAAGTTTAATCAATTTTTATTGCTCTTTTTTTACTGATGTACTCCTAATATCTCATTTATTTATTCTCTAATATCAATGTATGCCTTAATTTATATTTAAATCTTTAATGATACTTTAAATGCTTTGTTGAACGAACAGAATAAAAATAGTTGTAAAAAATAAAGTGTATGCTCTGACTTGTAGAGAAAATTTCATTTTTTGGTCCTTTATTTATGAAAGTTAGCGGAAATTTTTAATTTGTGCTTATTTAACTTTCCAACTATTTTTTGTTATTGAAAAAAACGTAATTTAAATATCATGCAATTTTTCAAATATTTGAGCAAAATCCGTAAGGATCCTTTCATTGTAGTCCATCTAAAAATTTTGTTGTCATTTTCTATTCAAACTCTATTTTAATCGATTTTCCAAAATTTCTTTACATTAAATACTCATCTATGCTTTTATCTGCTATTATATTGAGAATCCCTCACACTAAAAACTTCACAAAGGACTAAAGTAAGGGTTATATAGACTTTTCACATTGGCATGGTTTCCAAAGTTATCAAATTATACAAAAATTTTTATATAAAAAGAACGCTCAATATAAAAACTTTTCATATATAAAAAGAATAGGAGGGAATATTTAGTATTTTATTCAAAATGTAATTTTAACTGACGTAAATGTTTATCTAAAGAATATACAACCACCATGTGTGATACATATACTATGTCTAATTGCATTGCAATCCAAAGTAACGATTGGTTAAAATACCCACTATGATTAATCACCTACAAATTTTTTTATGTGCTGAGTTATGTCGTCGTGAACTATGAACTGAAATTTTAATGCTTTATTTTTTTTTTTTTTTTCAAAATGCTTTCTCTACTTGAAAAAAAAAATCAGAACTGAAATGATAATTGAATTTACATATTATTTAATTTTTGAAACTAACACTCATAAAAAAATAAAGCATACTTTAAAATGGAATAAAAAATTAATTTAAATTGACATATCATGCAGAGTGTATTCTAATTATTTAAAGAAAAAAAAATGGTAATTGACTAAATATAATGCAATGGGGTCATCAGACCATTGGAAAGTGGTGATAAAATTGATAAGAGGCATGTCTTTCGATGTTGTTTCCTAACAGGCAACATCATCTTTATACTAATCAACAATGTCTAGTGTGACAATGTTTTCTA